TCTGCATCAAGACATTGGGGGTTTGTTCTGACGTTGCACCTGGCCTCCCGTCAATTTTGGTGGCCCCATCTGAAAAATGACGTGCGGAGGTGCGTGGAGTCATGTGCCCAGTGCCAACGGGCCAGGTCTGCAAGGAGAACTCCGCCAAGATTCCAGGCTTTGTCAACCCTGGTCCCCGCAGCACTGGACTTTGCTTCTAGGTTCCCGGCGGGGTACCAGTGTCATGGACCATGTCCTGTGGAGGCCGTCACCAACCCTTCTGGGCCGCACCCCAATTGTCGGAACCAGGGGAAAGGCTCTGCAGGAGGGGCTTGCGTGGTGGCTCGACAGGAGTTGGTGGAGCTGCCGCCGGACTCCGACTGTGAGGGGGCATATGAGTTGGCCTTGGAGGAGGTAGAGGACCCTGGACAGGGTGTTAAGGCTCAGCCGAAGCTGGTAGAGCTGCCATCAACCTCCAACAGTAGGGGGGCTGGTGGGTCGGCCTTGTGGAGGGTGGAGGACCCTGGACAGGGTGTTAAGGCTCGGCCAAAGCTGGTAGAGCTGCCATTAACCTCAGACGGTAGGGGGGCTGGTGGGTCGGCCTTGCGGAAGATGGATGACCCTGGACGGGGTGTGACGCCGTGAAGGGTGGAAGGAAACATGGTGGCCACCGGATATCTAAGGAGTTCCGATTCAAGGGGGCTCTGCCTCCAGAGGTTTGGGACTCATGAAAAAGGCACCATGGGAAATGGGTGCGGGTCATCTTGTGGACACGTCATTCCAACCGTATCCAGATCATAGGACCCCGGGGAAAGGGCCCTGCAGTGGGGGATAGTGTTGTGACTCAGCATCAGTCTTCTGGGATGCAAGATTAATGATGCAGCTGGGGCTCGTTAGTGGGGATAAAGAGAGTTCCTTTTAAGTTTGTCTGCCTGCCGTTTGTTAACGAGCCGAGAAGGGGGGACAGAACACATATGTATTGAATGCCAATGGGATAGCATCACTAATTTCTAATTTGCCATCTTGAACTCATAGAAATAAAGTAGAAATCTACCAGTATTGTAGTTACCAAGAAAATCAAGAAAAAGAAAACAACACAGGATTCTGAAAACAGCAAGGTTTATACTATTTTTTTAAAAGAGTATACAATATATAAATATGAAAGCATTGGCCAATCTCAGTTATATTTGCCCTTTTGATGCTGCCAGCTTTGCTAACAGTCCAGTGGGTGAAGAGGTATGAGTATCTCAATTTCAATTTTTCAGTCATATGGGAACTTTCACCCTCATGTTTAATGCCCCGCCCAATTACTTAAACAGCTAACTGGCTTCCCCCTGTGGAATGGGTTGGGGGAGTGGGAAGATGAAGGAAGAGGGAGCTCTTCCTGTTTCTTTCTCTTTTCTTTTCTTGTCCACTGAAATTTCAATCTAATCTGCAAAATCAACCTGTTGTCTATAGTGCTTTTTTGGTGGGAGGGAGGTAAGCCCTTTTTTCACACTAGGGAAACAAGTATGGGGAGACCAAGAGAAAAGAAGGAGCAGATTGGAAGGAGGAGCAACTGTCAGGCAGTGTCATCAAAATATGATGTTTAAAAACAGTGAAAAGGGGGAACAAGTGGGAGAAGACAAAATAAGGGTAAAAAAAGGCATGGAAAAAAGGAGCAGGAAAATTGGAAGAGGAAGAAGAGAGGAAGCAAAAGAAAGAAGAACAGAGCAGGAGAGTGAGGAGGTAGGGGAGTAAAGGAGAGAAAGAGGATTCAGGAAATGTGCCTCTACACCTTATAAGTAAAATAAGCAAACAGCCTAAGTACTAGATAATTCTTAATTACTCCCTTTTAATAAGCCACAGGTGATATAACAAGAAAATATAAGGAAGATTTTTAAAAAACTTACGCTCACAAAACTCTTCCAATGGGTTCCATCCTTTGTCTGGAGAACAAGTTGTCATGTATGGTTTGCTGGAGTCTTCTCTATAGCCAGGAAGACATTTGAAGACTACGTACTCATAAGGTTTGTAAGAAGGTTTAATAGGATCAAATGGCTCAGCATTTTTCAATCGTGGTGGAGGTCCACAGTCACCTAAATTAAAGAGAAAACATTAATTTTAGTCAATGTGCAGCTAGTTTGGTCTGCAATATTTTCTTATCTTATCTTATCTTATCTTATCTTATCTTATCTTATCTTATCTTTCAATTATGTAATAGAACAGTGGTTCTCAACCTTTTCTTCACCACGGACCTCTTTTAAATACCTTTTGTGGCCATGGACCCCCAAGACTTAAGATTTAAATCATAATATTTCTTCAAGCCTTTCTGGACCCCTTGTGGGCAACCCCCCCCCCCCCAGAGGTCCATGGACCAGAGGTTGAGAACCACTGAAATAGAATATATCATATGTTCATATGAATTGTATGCAATAGAGAATGGATTTTGTTTATTTATTAATTGGAATTTATTTATTACTTTAGTATAATGAATTTAGCCATAAATTCAGTACAATAAAACAGTTAATTTTTTGTTGTTATTACTAGGTGGGTCCAATTCTTTATGACCGCATGGATAATAGCACATCAGGCCCATTTGTCCTCATTGTCTCCCACAGTTTGCCCACATTCAAGTCCATTGTATCAATGACACTATCTAACCATCTTATCCTCTACTGCCCGTTTCTCCTTTTGTTTTCAATCTTTCCCAATATCAGGGTCTTGTCCAATGAATCCTCTCTTCTCCTTAGGTAGCCAATGTTTTTGAGCTTCAGTTTCAGTATCTCTCCTTTCAATAACAGTCAAGATTGGTTTCCTTTAGGATTGACAGATTTGACCTTTTGCAGTCCAAAGGACCGTCAAGAGTCTTCTCCAACACTACAATTCAAAAGCATCAGTTCTTCAGTGCTCAGTCTTCCTTATGGTCAACTCTCAAAGCCATACATTATTACTAGGAAAGCCACATTATAAACTATACTAATACACAAGTTAATAAAGTACATACAATATCAATGATGCTGAATCATAAAACTCCAATACACCAAAATGCCTTGTAAAGAAAGCTAGCTTTGTATATTGTTTCTAAAGGATGCCTACATAGGCTCAAACTAAACTTTGATGGGAAACTGTTCCCTAATGTGGGGTCATTACAGAAACACATTGTCTTTGTGTCTTCTCACATCTGGCATTGAACAGTCAACATTGAAGTACTCCAAACTCCTCCACCTGGATTGAATATTTAGCACAAGTTGGTTCACCTACAAAAGATGATCCTGAAGGTTTCTTAGGTCAAGCCATGGAAAGCTTTAAAAATCAGTATTTTGAATTACACTGAAAAACATGTTGGCAACCAACAATGTAACTGCAACACAATGTGATATGGCTGAAGTAGTTTTCAGCTGCGAAAAGGGGGAAGGCTGCCAGTCAAGCAACTGAACAGAACTCAGCAGCATTTAAAATAAACTGAAAATTAGTGAAGATTCAGATAAATAAAAAAGAACCTTAAGGAATGGAAGATAAAGTTTAGGCTTTAGATAATAGCCAGTGTACTACCCCAGAGCCTTGACTACAATACTCAGAAGACTAGAAGAAAAAAAGGAATTGCCTAGTTGTGGCAGATAAAAGATTAAAGGAGAAAAGAGACATTGGGTGTGGAAGAAACTGATAAAGCTTCACCCTTAGAAATCTGAGCTGACCATGTGAAAGCCATGATGAGACAACAAGTAGACCATATCAGAGTGCTGTATAGCAATGAAAAGGGAGGGAGAGGATAAGGAGAAACGAAGAGAGAAAGGACGTTGGTCTTACCTGAACGTCTATTTTCTGANCCTGTCGTCTGTTTAACGAGCGGAGAAGGGGGGACAGAACAGGTACCTATCTCCTTGGGAACTTCCTGCAAGATATTGCAGAATCAGAACAAGAGGTATTTTTATTGACATCTATATGTTTTGAACCGTAACTCAATTTTTTTCTCCAGGAAGTTAGAAATGTGACACAATTATTTTTGGAAGTTTGAAGAGTTTGCAACCAATTATGTTAGATCTGCATTTAATTGACTGAATCAATGCATAGAACTTTGTTATACATTTACAGCATAAAACAATTTAAAAACTCATCTGTAGAAATTCTGTAATCTTTGTCTAATCACTCATATTTTCTCCAGGTTCTCACACAGCCCTTGATGACTTCATGATTTATATTATTTCCTGGTGTTCTTTGTGAATCTTTCCTCTTATTTTACAGATGCTGCTTAAAATTCCTAAAGATTTCGTGCCTTTTTATCTTTGTAGTTATATGCTCTGTGAGTATTCAATTTTGAGAGTGATACCTACCAAAAGCTAAAACTGAAATAGTTTTACAAAATAGCATTGCGGGATGTTTTATTAATAATTCCTGAGCCTGGCTCCAATTTTAAGGAGACCGTTGGTAAGGTGCTTTTCAGATTTTGTCTCTTCCTATTTCAATATGGAACAATGAAAGAAATGTTACTGAACACAAATAGCAATAAGGAAGAAATATTAGTAATAATCTTATTTGCTTATTTGTTTTTGCTTTAATACCGGTAATATTCCCCTGAACATTCTATTAGAGTATAATTTAAAAATAGAAGATTAGAAAGCATAATAGAGAAGAAAACAATATTTCTGCTTTATTGTAAACTCTGTATTCTCCCCATGCCATTCTGTAATATTAAGAATACAGCAAAGAGAATATTTTTAAAGCACTGCCCATCCACTTTTTGTGGAAAGGATAGGAAAGGTAGCAGTGGCTGGGCAGCAACGAAGTAGAGCAGGGTACACCCTTCCCCCCTGCAACCCCTGGTCTGTGGCCCAGTGTCAGACTGCAGTGCAGCCCATTCAGAACTGGGCCACAGAAGTGGTGGGCTTTAGGGAATCATTACTAGAAACCATTTGTTCTTTGTAGTTATTTCACCAATGGAAACAGCTTTAGGAAAAGTTTATTTAATAACTTGTTAACTGAAATACAATTATTGGATGTATCCCCAGATTTTGTTTAGCATTCATCCTGAAAACCGAACATCTTGGCAGATGCTGGCTGTTTCACCTGTGGACATTTACAGTATCCTTTACCTGTTATCTTTTTGGAAAACACAAAATCAGAATAGGGTAGACCCAAGTTGCTAACAATGGGCCAATTCAAAAACATGCTTGATATTTAATGGCTTTTATTTTGTTTGCTCAATTAAATATTGACAATGATTTCTTTCTTTAGAGATCCTGATAGTAAGCACTGATTTTAAAACCAATAATTAATATATTTGCAAAACTGTTTTCTAAGATCACGATCCAAGTGGTATTGAAAATCTGATTTCATATCTTCTTTAGCTTCTCCCTGAAATGTTTCTTTCAGAAATATAACCATCATAGAGTGCCTAATACCTTTAGATGAAAGCAAATGTTCAGTTTTAAATTAAAATGTACCTTTTGCTTTATATACAACTAATTGTCACCCAGCAATGATGCACGGAATACAGGATGTCCATTGTGGACTACTCTATGGCATTTCCAACCTGTTCTCTTCTAAATGCATTTGGGGACTTCAAGTCCCATTATTTCTATCAGAAGATTGGCTTGGGATGCTATATCTGGGAGGCAACAGATTGAGAAAGGCTTTCAGAGAAGTATAATAACTAGTGATCCATGTTAAGCAACATAGGGTCAGATGCTATAAAGAACATGCTTGGTATAGCATTCTGTTGATCTGGGATGGATGCTTTTTCATTATTTATTGACTTGGCTTTGTACCTTGGGTTGTGAATTTCAGAAGAAATTCCAGATGGTGTGAATTCCAGAAAAAAGTTCAGCATAGCCATAAAAGCAACACTTGGATGAAACACATAGAACAGAACTGACATTATAAACCAGTGAAAGATGTTAGGCAAAGTGAACTGATACATACAATATCTTGAAGGCTGGGCGAGAACATGGATTGAATTGTCAATACATGATATAACTTGTTCTGCATCTCTGCAATGAACTCATTTCAAGGATGCTGCATTGTGTATCTTTGTTTTGGGTTTGGGTTGAAAGAGGAAGTTGTCCCTCTTTCATCTTGTTTTTCCCTCACTGATTGGTAATGGTAGCCTGCTGTGATATGCAATTTATAAAGGCTTACTGGGCTTCTAACAGAGCAAGAATCTGATCATTTTAAACATTTGTAATAAAATGGTTTTCTTCCTGCTAAAGATTAACTTTTAGGTTGACCTCTTTTCCTAATCCAGTGAGCCTCCCTAAATTCAAGGATGTTCACTCTTCTTCCAAGACAAAATTTCTCTCTNCCCCCCTTGGAACTGAACCTAGAAGGACATTTCTTCCAACAGTTTCTATCATGAAGAACTTGTAGCTAAGGTATGGTAGCTTGGAATTTTCTTAAACTGTTCAAGTGGTGAACCCATATTTTCAATCTTCCCCTAACACCATTTCTGCTGTGGAAACTATTGGCCATGCTTCCTCAATACGGTCATTGATGGTGCAGTAATGGCTGGGACCTGTCCAACTCCAAAGGGCAACATTTAGGCTGCCAGGAATATGCCTTTTTTGTGCCTCTGATCACTAAACATTTTGGTTTTGGCTGCAGGTCAGATTACACTCCTGCCTTCCACAGATAATTGTCTGTGTAATACATGATCAGCACTTTTCAACATGTTTGTTAGGGTTTATGCAGGCTTCTTATACTCACAAGATACTTCCCGACTCTTTCCAAACCCCTCCTGCATTTGCAGCTCACCCACTGAGCTATTGGGGGGGGGAGTTTAGCACTTTTTCAAAAGAGTGCTAGACTCCCATTCATAGCCTGATATAAGCACATTAGGGAGAATGATTGGTGGTTGTGTGAGAGAGCGATTCTGGAGGAATCCACCAATCACTTTTCTTAATTTGTGCTTAAATTTATAAGGATACTACCACTTGCCAGCCAGGTTACTGCCTCCAATTTTCCCCACAACAACAAACCTATGAGAAGAGTTGGGCTGAGAGAGAGTGATTGGCAGAAAATCACCCAGCTGGCTATCATATCTAAGGCAGAACTAGAACTCACAGTCTCCTGGTTTCTAGCCTGGAGCCTTAACCAGTATATA